CTCTTGCACGAACGGACCCGCAGCCTCGAGGGCGAGAGAGGCGCGCGGGCGCGCACGCACGCGCACGCGCTCGCCATGTGACGGCACCCCGCGAGGCGCCCCGACAGGATGCTGCAGCGGCGCAGGCAGACACCGTGAAGCTAGGACGGGGCTCCACGGTGGCCGTCTGGGAGATGAACCGCTGAACCAGGCCTCCAGCGCCCACTCTGACGCCTGCACATCGCAGCCTGGAATGGGGAAGCCCTTGCAAACGTAGTCCCGCCCACGCTTGCCACCTCGGGTCGGGACCGAAGCGCACTTAGCAGCGAGATGACGACACTTGCCTCCACTGCTGTAGCATGTTTGCTTCGTGGAAGAATGCAAGAACCGAGCTGTCCGAGCAGGGGGAAAACGATGGTGCGATGTCGGAACTCGTCCTGATGAGCAGCGTGAACCACAGAACCCCTAGAACACGCACCGGTGGGAGGCTGGGCAGAGGCACGGCTGCCACGTAGGCAGTGCCTACAGCGCCAGATACCTCCGCAATGCTGCTACTCGTGACCGACAGAAGAAGTTCCGGCAACAGATTGATCCATATCCCACCACACTCAGCCGCGAACAGATCAATGTCGGGCCAGAGGTGCAAAGCGCGTGCCGCCACGCGCAAAGTGTGTCGAGTTGGAGGGATGGAGCGACGTGGCCGATTCCGCCGATACATCAGCGTCGTGATTCCCATGCCTGCGCCGACGCCCCTCAGCGTCGATCCCAGCTTTTTCCTGGTCACGGTGGGCTGGAGCGTTGAACCAAGACTCGAAAGGGGCTCCTCTTAGGCCGCACACCTGAAGGAGCAAAAAACCAGATAAACACTCTTGCCCGAAACCTGCTCCACTTCACGACGACAGGTCTGTTTCACAAAGAGGCCGCAATCCTAAAGAACGTGGGAGCCAACCGAGCTGAGCACCGCGGCCCAGGTGACGCAGCTGAACTCAGCCGACCCCTGACCTTCCAGGAGGGTTAAAAAATAGCACGCGACTGAAAAACCTAACCCAGAGCTATTATATGTCTTGGTTTTAGGCTGTGTCGTTTCGTTTTTTAGGTTTTTAGGCCTCCCGTGCAAAAAAATAGCTCTCTGGAAGGTCAGGGACTGGAAAGGCTGGGGCTACTGGGCCCGGAGGGGAGCGCGAAGCTCAGCAGCCACACCGCCAGCACCGCCCATTGGAACGACGCTGCAGGCAGCCCCGAGACAGCTCCCGGACTGGGTGCCCAGTGCAGCTGCCCCGATGCCCGCAGGAACTCCGGCCAGGACCCTGACCTTCCAGAGAGCTATTCTTTTAGCACGGGAGGCCCAAAAACCTAAAACAACGACACGAAACAGCCTGAAACCAAGACATATAATATAGCTCTGGGATAGGTTTTGTAAGTCGCGTGCTATTTGTTAGCCCTCCTGGAAGGTCAGGGGAGGAAAACACCCCAGACCCAAAAGGTTCTGGTGCAGGTGCTCCCGGCGGCGTCCGCTAGGTGGAGCGCAGGGCGGAGCTCGCCTGCGGCCCGCAGGAGCAAGCACCACTCGTGAGCACCTCTCTCGAGAGAGGCATCCCCGGGAGGGGAAGCGCGGCATCCGCAGTTCGAGCTGCCGACCGTCCTGGACGGCCCAAGAGGCCGCAGGATCGCTCCAAGACGGCCCAAAAACCGGTCAAGAGGGCCCCCCCATGGCCCAAGATGTCCCCAAGACGGCCAAAGAGGCCTCTAAGACGTCCCCAGGATGGCCTCAGAGGGGGCCCAGAGGGGGAACCCGAACGGACATTTCGAGCTGTCGGTCCCAAGAAGCAACCAGGAATCCCCCAGAGGCCCACAAAAGCCCCCCAAGAGGCCCCAAGAGGCCCCCAAGAGGCCAGATCGCCGCTCCACGACTCGAGGTGCGAAAAGCGTACGACTACGAGACCAAGGGCACGCAACTATTGGTTCGTTTCTAGGGCCAAGCTGACTTCCCGCTGACCGGGGAGTGCGATCGGACCTAGGGCAGAAGGACATCATTCAACGAGATGGGATCCTCCGCCAGCCAGAAGACACAGAAAAGCCAAGGGCATCCTTCCCAGGATGCCCAGGAACATCCAACAAACACGAAAGACATTTGGGTACCCTCCCCGAGCCGACCTCGACCAAGCGCATTGTTCCCCAATCAGAGCTTGCCTCTGTAGGGGTCCTAGCGGATTCATATGGTTAGGTTAGGTTTGCCGCGGAATTTCGCCGCACGCCCGGGTGCCCGGGTGCCCGGGGGTGCCCGGGGGTGAGGTTGGCCGCCGATTTTCGCTGCACGCCTGGGTGCCCGGGGGATGCCCGGGGGTTGCCCGGGTGCCCGGGTGCCGGGGCGTGCCAGGGGGTGCCAGGGGGTGCCCTATAGCCCTATACCCCAATAGCCCTATAGCCCTACAGCTCTATAACCCTATAGCTCTATAGTCCTACAGCTCAATAGCCCTATAGCCCCCTAGCCCTATAGCCCTGATTGGGGCTTTTCTCCGGTATCATTACATTCGTGGCATTAACAGGCGTTATGGGGGGAAAGGAGATGGACGGGAGGGGGCATTACGGCACAACGTAGCGCCCCCCCCCCCCAAAAAAAAAAACTGTGATGCCGGACGCGCTGCGGCAATGCCGGGGACGCACTGGGGGGGGGGAGCGGTCCGTCATGGGGCAGGGGGAGCGGGGAGGGTAGGGCGCATGACGCGCTATGGTCCGGAGGGTAAATCAAAACACGCTCATGGCATACCTCGCTCCGACTGTGCTCCAGAGGGCGGTTCGAGACTATCAAGGGTCACCGTCCTGACGAAGGCCCGGGGCCAGCAGCTCGTCGGACGGATTCGGCGCGGCCCCCTGGAGCGGCGCGTCCAGGCTCTCGCCGACGAGCTGGAGTTTTGAGTGTAGTACAGCCACTGCACGAATAAGGCATGTATGCATATATGTAATATATGTATGTATATGTTACATATATATATATACATATATGTATACACATACATACACATATGCATGTGTCTGTCTGCCTGTCTGCCTGCCTGCCTGCCTGCCTGCCTGTCTGTCTGTATGTGGGTACGTGTGTACACACACGCTGTACAGATCGAAGGCTCTCCCAGGCATTCAAGCGGTCCACTTCTGACGCAGACTTGGGCGCAGAGCGCACCTGGCACGTCTACAGAGCACACCTGCCGCTGGCAAGCTCTCTGCTGACGGACTCCAGCCTCTGCGTGCCCTCCCTCTTCCCCCGCCTCCTCCTCATCCTCCTCCTCCTCCTCCTCCCTCCTCCTCCTCCTCCTCCCTCCTCCTCCTCCTCCTCCTCCTCCTCCTCCTCCTCCTCCTCCTCCTCCTCCTCTCCTCCTCCTCCTCCTCCTCCTCCCTCCTCCTCCTCCTCCTCCTCCTCCTCCTCCTCCTCCCTCCTCTCCTCCTCCTCCTCCTCCTCCTCCTCCTCCTCCTCCTCCTCCTCCTCCTCCTCCTCCTCCTCCTCCTCCTCCTCCTCCTCCTCCCTCCTCCTCCCTCCTCCTCCTCCTCCTCCTCCTCCTCCTCCTCCCTCCTCCTCCTCCTCCCTCCTCCTCCTCCTCCCTCCTCCTCCTCCTCCTCCTCCTCCTCCTCCCGCGTTCCCTCTCCCCCCCCCCCCCCCCCCCCCCCTCCCAAAATGACGGATGCAGCGCCCGCTTCGGGTCGCCCCTGCGCGGCCGCCGCCACAGCCGCGACGGATCCGACGCAACTCCTGTGGCCCGCCGTCGAGGCGCACGTGCGGCCGATCCCTGCCGCTCCACCCGCTGCGGGGGGCTGCTCGGGAGCCGCGGGTGCAATCTTAAGGTGCTATATTATGGCGCAACTTCTACTGAGAGGTGGGTGCAAGCATCCGTTACAGCTTATGATGTTGCGCATGACGTTCGTCTTGGAGTTCCTTGTGAGGCGAGTGACTGTGTGAGCGGACACAGCGTAGGGAACACGCGGATGCACCTCGACAGGGCTTGGACCCCAAAAGGGTCTTTCGACCCCCACGACTCTCCTCGACCTTTCCCCCGCCCTCCTCCCCCCACCCAATCCCCCCTCCTCGACAAGCCCCACTTTCCCTCCTGGGCTCTCTCGACCCCTCCCCACTCCTGCCACATTCCTTTTCTCAAAATAACTCGCATGACGAGGCCGGTCCAAGCCGGACGTTTCGCATGAGACATCCTCACAACATGATCCTGAAACTTCAATTTTGGAGCAGTTTCGGGGATGGAAGGCAAGTAGTTTTCATAATGTGACTCTTGCCTTAGGGCCGCGAATATTTGTTTGAAAAGCGTGCAAAAAATAAACGGATGGAATGCGGTCCGCGTTCTTTCAAATGTGGCTCTTGACCCAGCGCCACGCAACGTCGGAACCGCTTCACCAATGTAGAGGCTCCTTTTCAACATGTGACGCTCGCTCTCGCGCCGAGCACATTCGGTTTCAGAGTCTACAGCAATTTCAAATTTTCCCACGGTCACCGTCCCAGAAGTGCATTTCGGCACGATGCCGGACTGCCAGGGCACAACATTCACTTGATTCGAAGTGTTGAAATCCAAGGAATTCTGGTCTGGCACGATTCAGGACCGTCAAGACGCAACAATGACAGTGATTCGCGGCGCTGATGTCCTAGAAATGGCATTCTGGCACAAATCACGATTTTCGAACGGTTGGCTTCCAACAGGGCACTACCCTCAATGGAAATCCTTCTAGGGGCCTGAGACTGAACTTGGAGTGAGGGTTGATTGCAACATCGATGATGAGCCTTGGGTTTACATTGGTCCTCTTCCTCCTCCTCCTCCTCCTCCTCCTCCTGTTCCTCCTCTTCCTCCCTTTCCTTCTCCTCCTTCCTCCCATCCACGACCTCGTTTTCCTTCCTCCTTCGTCCCCTTCCTCCCTCCTAACTCGCCCCCTTCCTTCCTCGTCGACCTCCTTGGCTCCATCCCGTCGACATCGAAGGGCGACGAGGAAGCGACTCTTCGGCTCGGCAGGCGTCCCCCCCAAGGCGCCGCAACCGACGTAAAGCCCTGTTTCCCGACGTATATCGAGCCTTGGCGCCGGGGATGCTCTGACGGATGGGATAAGGGTCGCGCGGTGATGGCGGCTGCGGCGGCGACTGTGGTGACGACGGCGGTGGTGGCGATGGCGACGCATATGGTAGTGTTGATGGTGATGCTGCTGAAGATGAAGATGGTCATACTGATGGTGCTGATGCCAATGCTACTCCTGATGGTGTTGATGAGGATGCTGTATATGCTGATGCAACTGCTGGTGGTGCTGGTGCAGGTGAGGATGGTGGTGGTGGTGCTGCTGCTGCTGACGATGATAATTATGATGCCAATGATCGAGAGAGCTCCTGGCAACGGCATGGCGAGCTATGGACACTAGCGAGCACCAGTTGGTGAGGATTATGAATAGAGATAAATGATGGCGACGATGACGGGCCATGGTGAGGACAAGTACAAGGAGGCTGGAGCAACAACAACCAGGGCTGAAGAAAAACTGCATGGGCTGAAATGAAACCCGGCCCTTCCAGGTCCTATTATGGAGGTCCACGACAGCTTCTGGGGTCTCCCAGGAGGCCCCCAGGACGGTCCAAGAGGGCCCCGAGACGCCGAAAGAACGTTCCAAGACCATGGGCCGAAAAATCGTTCCAAGACGCCTAACATGGGCCGAAGACGGCCCAAGAGGCCGCCAAGACGTTCCAAGAGGCCTCCTAGGAGGCCTCCAAGAAGCCGAAATCTTCAAATTCCCTTGGGAAAATGTGCATTTCTAGCACAAGCGATATTTCCGCCTTCCTTCCAAGATGCCTCCAAGACCGCCCTAAGACGGCCCCATAGGCTCCCAAGAAGCCCCCACCACGGCACAAGAGGTGCCCAAAACGACCGAAAAGGGCTTCAGGAGGGGGCCGAAAGGGGGACCACGAAACGAACATTCCAGCCGTCTGCCCCCAGAGGCTCCCAGGAGGCCACAAGAGCCTCCAGAAAGGCGTCCAGACGGCCCCGAAGGGCCCCCAAGAGGCCCCAAGAGGCACCCCAGAGGCCTCCAAGAGGCCCCTAGGGGCCCCAAAAGGCCCCCAAGAGGCCTCCAAGAGGCTTCCCCAGAAGATCCCAAACACAAAAAACGAAACATATAATTTCAACATGTTCGCCTTTTGACACCAAGAAGGCTCCAAGACGGCGAAAGACCAAGAGAGCTCCAAGACGGACAGAGAGACTCCCAGTCAGCCGGACGGAGAACCGGAACTGACACTTCGAACCTTCGGTTCCAAGACGCCAAACCCCCACAAAAAACAAAGGGGTCGGCGGTGTGGCGTAAGCCTAAGATCAATGTGAGAATAAGGGCTCCCGCAGACCAGGCAAAATCATGTTTGAGGGGGTGTGTATCTGGGCTCTTCGGCGCACCCTTGGAGATTCCAGCGCTGCCGAATCTGACTTCCGTGGCTTCGCAGACGTTCCACCACTGTATCGGATCGCTGAACGAGTGGCTCTAGACGTCTACGATGGCTCCAAGACAACCCAAGAGCCTCCCCAAAAGATGTAACAATGTTGTCCATGGTATGTGTTTGAAGGATGTGGACGTTCTCGCCTTTTCTGGTTTCCGAACGTTCCAAGACGGCCGAAGAGGCTCCCAAGAGGCCCCCGAGACGGCTCAAGGAGCCTCCAAGAGAGCCCCAAGACAGCCTGAAAGCGCCCCAAGACGGCCCAAAAGCTCATCCGTCTCCTCCTCAGAATACTCCTCCTCCTGCTCCATCTCGTCCTCGCATTCCTCCTCCTCCTCCTTCTCCTCCTCCCCCTCCACATCCTCCCCTCCTCCTCGTCCACCACGTGCTTGTCCTCCTCCGTTTCGTTTCCTCCTCTTCCTCCTGCTCCACCTGCTCCTCCTCCTCCTCCTCCTCATCATCATCCTCATGTTCCTCAAGCTCCTCCTCCTCTTCCTCCTCCCCCTCCTGAACCCCGTCCCACATGGAACTTGATACACAACAGTGGTTAACATATGCTTCGTCCACGGCTGATACAACATTGGGCGACTTCTGTTCCGTCGACTGCCGAGACTGCTGCAATGTCAGAGGCTGCAAGCAAAACGTGGAGCGGATGATGCCCCTCTCCGTTCCGTAGCCTCTCACGCTCGAGGCTCAGGCACGTGCACGGATGCTCCAGCATGACCGAGCGGCCCCACCGTCGAGCGAGGGTCGCGAAAACAAGCGCCCTCCCTATCTCATAATGCCGCAAAGATTTCTCACCCTTGCGCTGCAGAGGTACCGGCATTCATGTCTACGTCGACCTGCTGCGATTCAACCCCTTGGTGTACAACCACTTTGTGTTCAACATGTTCGTGAACACCTCCATGCCCTCCTTCAAGTAGATCGTCGTGCTCCAATTCGTGTACATGGTCGTGCCCATCTTCGCGCTCGTCGCTTTGCCATACGATTTCAGTCAAACAAATTACCATCCTGTGTGCGCTATTAGCATGCCGTTTTGCCCGTCTTGGCCACGATCGCCCCACGCTCAGGATCGTGTCAGTGTTCGCCTGTATCCATGGCTGCTGGCACTTCGAAGTCCGACCAGTTCGACTGCTTGCAGTATCATTGGATGGCTGAAAGGCTTAGTGCTTCGTCATGCTGTGATGGTCCTTCATGAGGTACTCTCGGTGCTTGTTTCGGTCATGCTTGTAAATTGCCACCGCCAAGCCCATGGCGGTATTAATCCTCACCCACTGCTTGCACTCACGTCTTTAGCGGATGCAGTTTCTTGGATTCGGCTGGCATGCTGCTCGGCGTCGCCGCCGCATGCGGCTCTTCGTGTTTGTCGGGCGCTTCCTGATACTGCCCGTGACAATAGCATTCGAGATCGCGGTATGTTCGTGGACTTTGGTCTCGCACTCATCACGACGCCGGACGCGACATCGCCATGTGCGTATACCCATGTCAGCCACTATTCGTGGTATATTCGGAAAGCGCGCACTCGACGCAATCGTGGTCAATCTGGTTTGGCTGATGGGCGGCACGAACACTGTCGCGGACGTTGTCCCAACAACAAAGATTTTGAAGTGGCAAGGTACGCTTGCGTCTGCAAGTCTATCGGCCCGACGTGCTTCCTGCAAGTAACCAAAGCAGCCTCTGATGATCGGGCTCTCGCTTCGGATCGAGCCCTCATTGGACAGCTTGTTCCTCCTGCGAGCGTTGCTGGTCATCAGGTAATCAACCGACATGGACGGCGCGGTGCTCTTCTTCGACCAGAAAACGCAAGTCCTCCCGCCCGCCCTACACCACGTTTCCGGAGACGGCATGAAAAAGTGGTCTGGTCCAGCTCCGCGTTTGGGCAGGTGGTGCAGACGTGCAAGACAAAAGAAGTTGATCGTGAAAAATCGGTACTTGCACGTGCGAGAAGGCGGTGTGCAGAAGTGTACCGCTTTCATCAAGAATGGCAACTATTACGATCTGGCGTGCATGGCCCATCCATATTTTGGACATGGCGCTGGGGCTTCGGCGCTTGCGACGGGCATATTTGAGGCGCGTCACCCCTACTTGCTCCTGACGCCAGGCTGCCCGATGTGGACCAGAGCGGACCTAGTTGTTGGAACTGCTACTGAAATACCTTGGGCGTTTTCCAACTATACTGCCATGGCGGCGGCTACGTCATATCTAAATTCGCCGTGCAAGAAAATCATCGGCTTCCACCCGCGTCAATTTGTGCATTTCGCGTTCCGCCAAGAGTGTTTCAGCATCGGTACCTGCGCAGCCGCTATCTGTGGCGCGGGTCACAATGCATTCGGGCCCTCGTATCTAGGACGCGCCTGTGCTCGCATATCCAGATTCTCACTGGCGTGGCAAAGATGTGGAAGACAAACCCAACCCAAAGTCCGCGCTTGCCCAGTCGTCTGCGGCGGAACTGCACGCCCTACATGCCCGGGAACTCGGCCGACGAGCACGTCCCCAGCATCTGAAGGCTTATGTGGCACCCTGGAGGATGCCCGCGCGGCCCCGTCGCATGGCTCTTCTGCGAGCTGTTCGCTAGGTTCTGAATTCCTGGGCCAGCGGGAACAGATTGCAACCTCGCGTTCGAGGCCGCATCGGGCAAGAATGCCAGAACGTTACGGCAGCTCTATATCGCGATCGCTCCCCGCCACGGGCAAGAGGACGCATTGAGCACGAGATGCGGGTTGCTCTGTCTTCCTCGGACGCCATTGCGTGTCGCGGCAAGATCGCGAACAGAGCGTGGGGTCTTAAGGTTTCGGAGGTTTCCCCGTGCTTGACCCATGGCTTGGTCCGCGATTGTTCAACGTGGGCCTTGCGCCCTGCGCGGACTTCTGGACGCGTTCTGTCTGGGCGACATGCCAGAGGTGTGCTTGCCCTCCCCCGCGCCCTGGTCATCCGGAAGGCCGCCCTCTTCCAGAAGCGCCCCCGGGACCCTCCTGCCCTCTCCCTTTTCGCGGAAAGCAAGTACTTCAACGATAGAGGGGAAAAGCGTTGACATCGCCCTGGCCACGATCGCTTCCGCCGGGTCGTAGACACGTCTACAACGTCTTTCAGCGTCGAGTGGGAGCCCGTCAGCACCGGAGTTCGCGCAGTGGTAGAGCGGGCAACAATTTCCAAAGAAATCTTCGATATCTCGAAAAGGGGGCATGTCTGACGGAAGAAGCTGTGGCGCGCTGCCCCGCCCCCCCAGCGATCAGTGCTACAAACAGTGTTGTCGACCGATACATGGGTAGTTGAACATATGTACCTTTATATGTTGATCTAGCGTTCGAATCCTGCCGTGTTACTCCTGTTGCGCCAGCTTTTATTGCAATAGTCGAAGCATGCCGTCAGTGAACTGGATCCTACCAAGTTTTCGCTGCGAAGGGGCGGCGGTATCGCGCTGCTGCTTTCGCGCCCGCTTGGAGCCGAAAGTGGTAGTGCTTCTCGCGAGTTGAACTCGCATGAGCCGTTGCCTTGGGCATTCCCTATTCTTTAGCTGCCTGGGCAATCTTGCAGTGGAGCTTCTGGGGGCTTGCAGTGGGGAGTCTCTAGGCAGTGCGGCAATTGCCGTCAGGTCTGATGAGCCTGCT